TTGAGCACTCCCTCTTTCGTCCGTGTGAAGGACGGTCGTCGACCTCTCGCGAAGTAAATACATCACCTAAACAGTCTCACCGGATAAATAAGTGGCGTAGGCCGCAAACAAAGGAGCCGCAGGCAGCGGCTACCGCCTCCGGGTCGTACACGATGGCAGGGGTGAACTCCAGATCCAGCTGTGGCAGGAGCTCCAACTGAACTCCGGCGTCCACCTCGTCTTCCAGATAAAGACTGATCCCCGTTACCTCCTCAAACTCGCGAAATATGCGTTGCAGCAGTTGACGGTCATCACAGCAGTCATCTGACAAAGTGAAGCGTCACGCAACGGGGCCGGAAAGGATTGAGGAGACAATGCTGCAAAGTCATTGCGAAAATAGCAGGCCTGACACCGGTCTACAACCTCGAAAAGCGAAGCAAGTCTACAATNGCTTATCCCCGTTACCTCCTCAAACTCGCGAAATATGCGTTGCAGCAGTTGACGGTCATCACAGCAGTCATCTGACAAAGTGAAGCGTCACGCAACGGGGCCGGAAAGGATTGAGGAGACAATACTGCAAGTCACTGCGAAAATAGCAGGCCTGACACCGGTCTACAACCTCGAAAAGCGAAGCAAGTCTACAATCATTTCGCAAATTACCTGTGTTCCACAGAGTAGGAACCTTGAAGCCATTGCGAACGAATCGCATGAAAAAAAGCTTCAACTCCCCGCCAGCTCGCTCAAGGCACCGGTCTTCATCGGACGCTGCCAGACCACCTTCAAATAAGAACACACATGCGTAACAACGAAATGTTTTTTGGGTCATCAGAATGAGCGCACACATACTACGAGAATAATGTTCCAGTGATTGCTCCAGAAAACATGGCACCAACACAAAGGGTTTGGGGATGGTTGAACGAAACAGAGACAAGAGAAATTTTCACCTGCTCATATTCGTTGAAGACTGTGAAGAAGCCGTACACTGGTCTTGTGCGCTCCTCGCCCGCTTTTGCCCCGAGCCGGATGATCTTCGCAAACTTAAACGAAGCGTCCCCACCCAGAATGTCTCCGTCCCAGCGCTGCATCAAGCGGTGCTGATACTCCTCCAGGGTCCAATCCACACTATCCACCTCCAGCACGGGGAGTTTCGGGAAATACAACCGCCACACGTCCCGCAAATAGTGCTCCGACGGGACCGCACCGCCGTACTTTGTCGAGTCGTCAAAGCTGCCGAACCTCTCCGGAGTGTTGGCGAGGTTGGCCGAGCGGAAGATGCCCGAGCTGGTCCGCCGGGTGTTGACCAGAGAGGTGTACTTCAGCTGGTCCACCATGAACTTGGTCGTATGCGCCTACAACAGCATTGCGAGGGCGACACGTTTTCGTTGTAGCACGGGTCGGCGCTTATGAGATCCGACATTTCCCGCAGCAACGTTTGCGGTACCATCCGCAAATGTTTTGAACAGGCTAGGAAAGCCAAGATCAGACCAANTCAAGACCAGACCAACTCGTTATCTTAAGGCGCTGCAGATGAAACACTGCATATTCACCTGACGAATGTTCTTGGCAGCAGCGGAGAAGTCCTTCCCATGCACCAAATCATCTGCAAGCCGGTTCACCATGCAAATCTCAATGCCCGATCGCTTGGTGAGAAGGAAAGGAAACTCCTTGGAGATGTACTCCGGGAGACGCCGGAGGCACCCAGCATCCCACGCGTTGAAGCTCGTCTTGTGCTTTTCCGCCTCCTGCTTGCCTTTATTGAACTCCGCGCACTTCGCACACTTGTACCTGCACGTGCATGGGAGAAAACATACACCACGAGCAATATCGTCGGAAAACCACAACACGAACTCCAATCTACCAGAAACCCAGAATTCGTCGGATGCCACGAAAACATGACTGATGAAGTTTATGGAGCGAACACTCTTCGTCGCATGCTGAACTTACCGAAATTCCATCACGTACGCCACGTCGTGCTCCGTGAACACCCGGCGTGGCCCCTTAGGGTTCCAGCCATCAGGTGCGCCCTTGCCCCCACATCCTGGACAAGGAACTGCCTGGAGCTCTGGGAACAAGATTCCGGTATCCATACCAGTACCGCCTTCTGATAAAACCGGTCGAGTTTCGGTAGGTCTGGGCGCGCGTAAATGTGAGGTAGATACAGTGGGTGGCCCGATATAGTGCCGGTTGAATAGTGCCGGTTGCCGGCATATTGCCGGTGTTTTCGACTCGCACACACCGGAATATCAAGTCTTTCTGTACTCTGAATAGTGCCGGTNTTCCGGTATCCATACCAGTACCGCCTTCTGATAAAACCGGTCGAGTTTCGGTAGGTCTGGGCGCGCGTAAATGTGAGGTAGATACAGTGGGTGGCCCGATATAGTGCCGGTTGAATAGTGCCGGTTGCCGGCATATTGCCGGTGTTTTCGACTCGCACACACCGGAATATCAAGTCTTTCTGTACTCTGAATAGTGCCGGTGCCCGGTATAGTGCCGCTTTGCTCTCTGAACACATACCGGCACTATAGAGGGCCCCCTACTGTATGTCAGTACATCAGGCACGCGAGACAAAAAAAATAGCCCCCCGGGGGATGGGATGTAATTTCCCTGGACGATTTATTCTGAAAAGAAAGACAGATAGGCAGCTATCTACCCCCCCCCCAAAAAAAAACAACTGCTCTGGCGTACCTGGTGATGGCTGAAAAGTGGCACACTTCGGACGCACGAGCGGGTTGTCAAACGGGAACCGGCCTTTCACACCACCTTCCTCAAGGGTGATACTCCGGTCGATCTTGTCCTTCACTTCTTGAAAGAAGCGTTCCTGCGCACTGGATGTTGAAGTATCGCCGGCCCCTCCACCGGCGGCTCCTCCAGCCCCACCTCCTGCTCCACGACCTGGCGCTGCTGCCCCATGCCCCCCTCCTCCACCTCCCCCACGGCCGCTCATCCCCCCTCCTCTGCCTCCTTCACGGCCGCTCAGCCCCCCTTCTCGTCCTTGTTGGCGCGCTCCGCGGTCGTGACCTCCGCTTGCTGCTGGTCTCGCCGCTGCCGCCCCCGCGGCGGCGGCTACTTCCGCTGCTGCTGCTGCGAGTTGTGCCGGTGTTGCTGCCCCTGTTGCGGCCTCTGGTGCCGCTGATATTGCCGGTGCTGTTGATGCTGGTACTGACCCCTCACCTATTTGAGAGGATAGCACTGCTGGAGCTGCCCCCCCGCGTGCTTGGGAGGCTTCATGAGCAAGGGCTTTACCCTTGCCTTTGCTGGGAGGGTGGGGGACGGGTACCGCCGCCACTGCTGCTGCTGTTGCTGCTGCTGCTGCTGCTGCTGCTGCTGCTGCTGCTGTTGTTGTTGTTGTTGTTGTTGTTACGAGCTCTGTTGGTGCTGTTGCGGATCCTTCTCCTACGGTTAAGAATAGTGGTGCCCGAGCTTCTTCTCCATCTGCTCGAGAGTGGCCACCCTCATCGTCCAAGCGAGGAGGCGACTGCTGTGGTGTACCGGCGGGAGGTGGAGTGGACTCGCCTATGGTTGGTGCCGCCGTGCTTGATGAACCACCAGAACCCCCACTAACGTCGACATCGCCGGCGGATGATGCGCTTCTAGCATCCGCACTGCTTCCCTCCCCACTTTGGTCTTCACTCACCCGTGGCCGCTTTGATGATGGCTGGGCTTGAGAGTGCCGGGAAAGCATCCTTGCGAACGCGGCCGCCTGGGTCTCCTGCTGCGTAGCTATCCTCTCCCTCCCCGCATTTGTTTTCCGACCCGCTTTTTCTGCGCCATCCTTGGGTTTTGATCCTGGATTTCGCCCCATGGGGAGCGCTGGCTCCACGGTTGCTGGGTGGGAGGGCTGTTGTGCTTTCCGTTGTGGTCTGTGTTGGGTGTTGTCATCATATGTTGTCATGTGTCTCGGCGGCAGCGGCCCAATTCGAGTGCTTTGGATTCCGGTGCTTTGGCCCAATCACAGGTCGTCGTTTTTCATGGTCTCGGGGTCGTTTTTCATCTCGGGATGTGCTGTTGACCAATAAAATTGCGTCGTTTTTCACTTTTTTGGCCCTGCATATGGGCCCTGTGCCGAAATTGAAGGGGTCTTCCACGATGCAGGTACACAATCAAGGCACCCGGGTTATCCGCGCCATCTCTGCCGCGTCTCTCTACAAACCAGTGACGTCATCACACACACCTAACACCGGTAATCAGGAAAAAAACGGAAAAATAATTGACAATACAAGAGATGTTTGTCCGTGCGCCACGGTTCGATGCCGTCCGCCTGCTCCGGTTCCGCTGCTCCGGTGCCGCTGCTCCGCTGCTGCTCCGGTGCCGCTGTGGGCAGTCCTAGCACGACCAAACTCGACCCGNTAACACCGGTAATCAGGAAAAAAACGGAAAAATAATTGACAATACAAGAGATGTTTGTCCGTGCGCCACGGTTCGATGCCGTCCGCCTGCTCCGGTTCCGCTGCTCCGGTGCCGCTGCTCCGCTGCTGCTCCGGTGCCGCTGTGGGCAGTCCTAGCACGACCAAACTCGACCCGCTCCGCTTCGTACACACTCTCGTTGTTGTCCATCCCAGTCGGTTCCTCGCTTTCTCCCTCGTTGCACTTAGGGTTCTTGGTCTGAAGATTCTCGCGCCGAAGGGTCAACCAGCCCAATCAGCTCGTCACCACCTGTCCCCTCCTCATTTGATGGCAAAACCAGGTTACTGAGACAGTACAGCTCCCTCCAGCAAACCTAGGGCCGTGTACATAGTGCCCGTCTACCTTTCTGATGACGTCTGCCTCCGCGCACAAAGATGAGATAGGCATTACTGCCTACACCGACGGCCTGGAGGCCCGCGCATCTGCACCTTTGTACCTGGCGCACCAGTGCCGATCCAACTCCACCACTACGCACGCCTCGCGGCGGGTGCGCCGCAGCATGAAGGTATCGGTCCCCTGAGGGTGAGTCTAGCCCTGCTCGCTAGAAA